TTATTATAAAGGGTAAAAAATTAATAATTTAATTAAATTCTAGTTTTATTATAAAATACTATTAAAGAAGGCTAAACTATTTCAAATAACGTGGCAGTAAATAAGCTATAAAAGGTATTAAACTTTAGTAAGTAATAAGGTGTATAATTTTAGACCCAGAAAATATCCTATTAGCAACACGAGTAGTATATTATAAACTAAATAGCACTGTTATAAATAAAGTACTTGTCGAATAAGTACCTAACTGCGTTTATTATAAACTCGCAATACAGATAAGCATAAACGACACGTCTCTTGACAGATATATTTGGGAAGGATTATTGGCCCGGGATCGGGAGAGTATACGATACAGTAACCACCCGACTTGCAGAACATTGTCCAATCAGTGCCCATTTTCTGCTAAACTATTGGCTTTCTGTGCCGCCAAATTGTCAAAGAAGCTCCTTGTTTCAAATGTCCAGGGCCCATTTTGTTGAACCCATTCCTGCAGGGTAATTTTCTTGTCACTTCCTGAAACTAGCCATTTGTCGTGGTCGTCTTGATTCTTTACTTCTCCCCTTCCGTATACCCCGTGCTCGATAGCCATAATAAGTGTTTCCGTTAATTGGCCAGAAATGTTGTCAGGAAAATCTTTAGCAAATGTTTCTGGGGAAATAGTCTTCAGAGAGACATTTTTACCGCCCTCTTCGCTCAAAGTTGCAACAAGTTCCCTCGGAGTTGTCCAGCAGCTTACGGCGTTAACTCTCACGCCATTGCTCTTACTACCGGCTTCGAATAGGCCCATGATATATTTGCCGCCATCTCGTGGAGGGTCAATAAATGGCCAGAGCGCAGACGTAGATGAAATTGGAAGTGTCAAGTGTGGGTTATTGTCCTGGCCTCCACGAATCAAGTTTTCGATGAAGCTGAAGAACATAGCTAAAGAATTATTAGCTGTTGGCCAGAACGGCATTGGAAGTATTCGATTAGAATTACCTGGCATAAAGTAGGATACAATCATATCTTCTTTATTTTCCTCTATGTGGGCTTCCACGATAGCTTTCCCGTCAAAGTATGGCAGTTGGGTGAGCTTTCCGCCCGTGAGTTTCTCAGCCCATGGGAGGGATGACCAGACGTAGTGTCGAACGCCCTCAGCTTTCACGGCCTCGAAGAGTTTCTTACCCTGTTGCATTTCGATGTCCTTGGAGTGAATAGACCAATAATCGGTCATACCAAAGACGCCATAGGAGCCCTTGACGGCAGTCTTAAGAGACTCGAGATCATTCAAATCACCCCAGACTACCTCCACGCCGTTTTTTCTGTAAGCCAGAGACTTGGCGCTGTCTGGACTGCGAGTGACAGCCCTGAGACGGTATTTTGCTTTCAAGTCCACCGAAGACAAAACAGTGTTGAGGACGCCGCTCCCTTGGGCACCAGTCGCACCAAAGACAGTTACAAGTCTTGGAGGGTCCATCGTGGCGGTGCTTGACGATTTGTTGAATTATACAGCCTTGCGTCAAGACGCATGTACAGATAATATAAATAATTTGCAAAGTTATATATACACTATACACACGCGCACACACGCATATATATATATATATATATTTATTTATTTCGCTGCAATCTTTGTTATTCTGATCTTGGAAAGAAACGGGACGTGTGTTTTTAATAGCAGTATCGTCAATACATCGCACTTGCTGGCAGGCGCGAAATGCTGCACATCCATCACGCAGACAACCAACTTCGATGCGGTGCTCGGACCAATAATACATCGGAGACCGGGGCTTACAAGTAGCTTCCTCGCAAGCCCTGATGTCGGCCATCTGCAACAGTCAAATTGGGAATATGTCGGGATCCGAGGCCTTGGGGTTAACCCTCAATGACCATGCCATGATCTGGATCGTACAATTGTGCATGGACATGACGTGCAGAGATTCCATCCAAGTATCGAGGTGTTCGTTCGCCGCTGTTCTATAGCCGAGGATGTTGTCTCCCGTAAACATGGCATTATCTTCCTCTAAAACGAAGCACATATAGTTATGTGAATGGCCAGGCGAGTGCACTGCACAAGGCCTAGCGCCTGTCACGGAGAATAGCTGGCCGTCCACAATTGGCTGTTGGTTTCTACCCTGGGAGTTTTTGGAAATGGAGTTGGGTGGGTAGGGATAGGTAACACAAGTCCGGTACTCCCCCAATGTGATCACCACGCCAATGTGATGTCAGTAGGTAGGACAATGATGTATTTTCGGCCACGATGGTAGTGGACGGCAACTCTGTCTATTCTGAAATACCCTGACTAGTATCGACCAAAGTCCTATGCCGACCAGTCCCAACAATGTAAGTGTTGGTTCCTTGAAGCATCAAATGGTCTATTTTCCGTTAGTCTCGGTTCCCGTCTATGGCATATGCATCCAGTTACTATTCGGGCATTTTAACCAAGCACTCGGATTTCTCTAGGACTAATTCTATTTATTCAAGGGACTACACGAGAGGTTTATAATAAAGGTATAAAAGCTGATAATATAACTTAATAAGTATATCTTATAAAAGATTAATTAAAAGTAAAAAGTTGACTTATAATTTCAAAAATAAAACTAGAAAAAGAAAGCTAGTATAATAATAATTATAATATATAATACCTTTAATATAATTATATAGGCCCTAATACTTTATATCTGATATAGCGGGTAAATAAGACAATTAAGGTTCAAGATACTCTTAAAATAAACCAAGATTAAGAGCCTTATTAAGTTTTATATAACCCCCTCTATACTTTTTCGAAGGTACTTTCGCTATAGCCAACCCCTGATAAGCTATATATGTAACTGCAGCGGGAAATATTTAGAAAGCGAAAAAGAACAAAAAAGGCCGAGGACAGACTTAAAATGAAAACTGTTAAAGAATAATAAGAGAAAAAATAATCAAGTTAATCCGCTTTAGTCTGTTACACCTGGTAAAATACCTATCGGTATATCAGAAATGCCCGCACGTCGGGCATTTCTACGCGGTCAGAAAAGTAATGTCCTTAATCCCGAGCGTGCTACAGTCTCGCGGCTTCTTATCATGAATAAACAAATATATCAAGAAAGAAAATCTTGCGCCGTTTCTGGACCTTGAAACCTTACTGTTTACACGGTCAGTGACATTTTGACACGCTCATAGCTATGGCACCACTGCTTTTTGGCCACAACGTCGCCGGTGATAGGCACGAGTTTGACCCGGAGCGATGGATAACCAAGTATTCCTCTAGCCAGAGTGGACCTAACGGACAGCCGGGTAGTTCAAGGCTGGCAGAACGGCATCCAGAGACGGGCATCGACGTGCTGATTGTTGGTGCCGGCATGGGCGGTCTAATGTCAGCGCTGGAATGCTGGAGAAAGGGACACAACATTGTTGGAATCCTAGAGAGACAAAATGGGCCTGTGTATTCAGGTGCGTATTTCTGTATTCTTGGTGAATATCTTATTCTGACAATTGCGCAGGGGACATTATTGTCATTCAACCTTCTGCTGTGACGGTATTCCGACACTGGCCAGACCTGATGCGCGACATGGAAGACGAGCAAATTCATGCCAGTATCAAGTATGTAAGACACAGCGGAGAACACATATACGGGCCTACTATTCCAAATTTTAATGAAGCAGAATATGTCGCTTCCCGCAAAGGCCCTACCGTCGCAGCGGCTCAAATTCGACAAAAGTTCTACCGCATGTTACTCCGCCAGGTTGCCAAATTGGGATTAAAAGTCAGTTATGGGAAACAAGTCGCTCGATACTTTGAGAATAACATCTCTAACAAAGGAGGTGTTGTGCTCGAAAATGGAGATATTCACGTTGCCGATGTGGTTGTTGCCGCAGACGGGTTGAGGTCGAGGTCTGAATTACTTGTCTGTGGAGGAGAGGTTAAACCTCCGAAGTCTAGCGGCATGTCTATATATCGAGTATCGTTTCCACGAGAGATGGCTATGAAGAATGACTTGGTTCGGAAGAAATGGGGCGATTCACCTTCAATGTGGGAATATTGGCTTGGTCCCGGAATGTATATTGGGATCTGGGTCTCGGACGAGATTGTTGGATGGGGATTTACTCCTCGAGATACTGTTGGAGCACCAACGGAGACTTGGGAGCCAGATACCGATGCAGAAGAAGTTGTGAAGACTCTGCTTAGGGTTCCTGGATGGGACCCTGCTATTTCAGCCCTCATTCGCAGCTCACCAAAAAAGGGCGTCGTCCACTGGCCATTACTTTGGCGTGATTTGCGCCAGGAATGGACATCGCCTGGAGGTCGTGTGGTGCAAGTTGGCGATAGCGCTCACAGCTTCACCCCTACGTCCGGCAACGGGGCCACACAGGCTCTTGAGGATGCTATTACTTTGGCTACATGTTTGCAATTGGGAGGTTCATCTCGCGCTGTGCCAATGGCGACCAAGATCCACAACCTGCTTCGTTATCAGCGAGTATCCTGCGCCCAGAAAATGACGTTCGTGAATTCCCAGCTCAAGACCGAGACAGACTGGGATGCTATCTTGAAGGATCCCGTCAAGATTAAAACCCGCTTTCCGAAGTGGGTTTTCAACCATGACCCCGAACAGTACGCCTATGAGAAGTATGGTCAAGCTTTCGCTAATATCGTGGCCGGGGCCCCGTTCGAGAATACGAACTTCCCGCCTGGTCATACGTTTGTGCCATGGACGATTAACGAAGTGTACAAGGAGATGGGGAATGGTAGGCGCGTTGAAGATTTACTAGATGGGGATTGGTCTTAGAGTGAAGCTTGTAAGCCGTTTACGGCTATTTCATTGTTTTGGGGGAGGGAGAAAAAAAGAGTTGTAGTGTGTAGTGTTATAATAGTCGTTGACTATAAATTAACAAGATATACATTTTTTGGGAATATAGTTGCCATTATTACACGTTACTAGCTGAGAATTTATTCCTCCAATATCTATCAAAGACATTGAATCTGAGTAGCAAAACACAGCAATTACATCGAACTTATACTAGTTCGATCAAAAGTTAGTCGTTACCCCTGCCTTAATACTCTCAAGCTTCGTTACCAACTCTTTCCACACGCGATTCTGTGTTATTTGGCCTTCCTCGCTAAGAACCCATGGGGAGGGAGCTCCGACTTCACAGTCATCTAAATACTAACCGTGGGATTCCGCGCCTGAAGTTCCTACATGAACGAGGATCCTACCGCTAACCTCGGTCGACCGTGCTAGGAGGGATTCAAGCAGCTAAAATAATTCACCAAAGTTAGGTGATATGCAATTTCTTGATTGCATGTTACGGATTTAAGCTTATTGTGGGTGAGGATTCGCCGATGTATCGGTTGCGTGGAGCGGGTTGGCAGCAATTACCATGTCATACTTGTCGCTGCTATATTTACCAGCATTAACAGTGGTAATATCAGTGACCTCGGAATATAGCTTGTAGTGCTAAGCTGAGAGCATGACCACCGTCTGATTGAGTAATACTGGATCCGCGTTGCCGAGGCAATAGGACGTATACTTATTATCGAGAGCTTCTAATATTTGCCGGGTCGTATTGGTGCCAGCATCAAGGTCAAGAACGTCCATGTGTGGATGCTTGTGTATAATACGCCTGACAATACTATAAATGCCTTTTGTCAGCTGAGAAGGTATTCCTGCAGCCCGAGATAGGCCCTCGAGGCTGCCAGCTTCATTCGGCGTGTTAAGAAGGTCAACCTCCCCTCGCAGGATAGCTGGTAAGGCCTTGCCGAATAAATAAATTGACTGGAGATCCTCAATCCCTGCAAACTTCTCGATCATTGCGAGGATGCCGTCTTCTGACACTTGGGCATCATGGAGGGAACTCATGCAGTACTTGGAGCCGGCATACCTGCCCAAGATGTTCTCACAAATAGTACACTCGCGAGCTCTGAACATGGTATTCTACTGGAACACGGTTGTGAATTCCAGAGTCGAGGGGCGCTGGCTAAACCCTGATTATAGTTACATAAACTATATAACCACAATGTGAACAAGCCGCGTGTGACGGTCTAGCGAGTGTAATGATAACTGACTAGGTAATTCTAACGAATACCTAAAGCTAAAGAAGAGAAGAAAGAACGAGAAAAGAAGAGCTCGAGGAGCTTGTCGATAGAAGCGAGAGCGCAGCCGAGCCATTCTTGCGCCTAGCCCGTTACACCGCGCAGCTCAGGCTCAAGGGAGTACGATACGGAGGCCCCAAGATTTTCGTTAATCCACGGGATATATTTCTTTCTTTTTAGCGTTTAGATACCTGTAGTAGTCGCCTAGCTAGTTGTCAATATACTCGGCTTGGACTATTACAAAACATCTAACTTAGTTGAGGGTTACCAGTGGATGTATTGCAGCTCAGGATTTATGAATAGCGTCGGATAGGGTGGAATAATTAATTTAGCAAGCAGACTCGATGAAATTACTCGCGCGCTATAATATGAAATCTAGCTCCCTACTGTTCTCATATCGCGATAGTACGGGCGTGAGGAAGCATAACAATTGATCCTTAAATTTGTCCTCGATCCTCGGGCATTCTGGTCTTCGGGCAACTGCCATGGAGGTACTAGCCTCTTGGACATTCTTGCCTGGTGCCCCTTGTGCCCTTCAGTTAATTCTGTGTCTCTGCGAAATCATACAGCACTGCTATGACGTATCACTAACTACATGGACATAACGCCCTGTTCAACTTATAATTTATGCTGTGGATAAGTTATATATGATAATGTTAAAAACAGACGGCTTTGTTGGACTCGAATAATGAGAAAAGGGTCTAGCGCGCATCATGTCTTCGGCCAGACGTCAGCGTAGTCAGCATGATATTCGGTCTTCTTGCTATGTGGACGCAGTACGCCTATCTTGAGCAGCTGTCAGTTGGCATAACTAGTCTTCCCGGAAGTCAGGAACGGGGATCCTTGACTAAAGATGCTGTTGGCATTCTCTTCTACCAACAAGCTGGTCAACTGCTTTCAGATGCCGTCATATTATCATCGCTGGAATGTGTACAAGCCTGCCTCCTTTTGGGCACTTACACCTTGCCAATTGATGCATCAGGTTTGTCATACATCTACCCCAGCTTAGCGCTGAAACTCGCCATCCAGAATGGCATGCACAGACAATACTCCGGCAGGAATATGGACGACCGGCGTCAGTATCCAATTTGAATGTAGATGCCAATTTCCCTACGGATTATGCGTAAACATGGCCTTCGTCTGAACCTACACACAATGCCCAGATGTTGACCACACTGCACCTCAACGAGAAGCTAGACAAGCTATCTCGAGAAATGTACGCTAACTTACGTGGTCATGGCTCCCATTTGCCCTAGCAACTCCACAGAGCTATTCTCAGAAAATCTCCCAAGGCTGAAATGAACCAAGACCTGGAAAATTGAGTCAAAATGCAGCACAATCCAGAAGACTAGTGGAACTCTCTGCCCGAGGAAATCTCCTGTAAAGAACCTCAGACATCAACAAATATGTCACGAGGCAGGTTATATCTGAAACTCAAGTACTGCCTAGTCCGCATGTTCGTCGGCCAGGTCGTCATTCTCCCGCAACTACGTCAGGGTGACAGCTCCGGCGTCTCTGAATCATCCCCCAAGGAGTCTTCAACCGCATCATTGACACGTAAACGATTGCGTTAAGGCTGCCATGCTAGTCATGGACATGTGCCGTGCTATTCGAAACAGGGTCGGTCTTGGTCTTTCCCGAGCATCATACACAATATCAGTTTCGGTCGGGCAGCTCTTCTCGTTACTACTACACAATGTCTCCAGCAGAGAACATACCGATTCGTCAGTCCTTGCGAGATGGACCGTCAATGCTCAAGGAAATGACATCGGGTAGTGAGTCTGCACACTCTGCGTGAAAGAATGACTATATAGCATTTTCTGTGCCCGAGGAGGGTACACAGGGCCGCAGTATAGTTACGGCACCACTTATGACGAATTTCGCAAGATCTGACGCTAATGAATTTTCTCATGACGTGCTGTGCCCGTCTTTGCGCACCCTTTTTCGAGGTAGACGGGACCCTTGCATCGTTTCCGCAAAACCCAGAGGATCTATCGGATTTCTCTGGAGTGGATTTCGGATCCGGGTAAAATTTCGGAGCAGAGTGAAGTTTTAGGTCACGACACAAAGCTAGGGGGAATTCTTCGAATAACCGCTATTCATCTAGACCTCGACGAAGAGATTGGTGTCTCTAAGTACTAGGTACAACGAGGCAAATAACGAGACGAACTCACAGCTGGCTAGAGCCAGACAAAGACACCTAGTATACGAAATATGCCAGGTAGACACGTACTTGAGGCGTCATCAATAAAAACCAAGCAATCAACCAGATCGTCCTCAAGGCGGGAACTTTGTAGGATCGCTCAACGAACATTTGGAGGCGGTGGACCTGGACGCCGATCTCTTTCAAGTCGAAGTGTCGAATATTGAGGTTATAATTTCAATGTAACAACACCCTCTCAGATCCTACCTTTCTTACAGACATGGATAACCTCCAGAACTGTCTTCTTGAATACATTCTCGGTGCGCAGCGCTCAGCCTTCCTACTGGAGAAGGGCATAGGAAGAGATATCAAGAGACAAGAGTAAACTTGACAACAAGGCTTATATGCGTACAATGTCCTACTAGAGAGAGCGACTAAAGAGTAAGGTATCGATTTGGATGTAGCTGCCTTACTAGGAAGCATCAAATTCTCTAGGCTGACGTTGCTTCGCCAGGGAGTTAATAATGGTCTAATATTGTTCCAAACTGCAAAGTTTTTTCTTAGTTTTTGCATAGCCATTGCACGCCAATTATTACAGAGTTCAGATGCAGCAAACTGAGGAGAAAAGCTTGTCATATATTCAGCTGCGAGATAGCAAAGAGTGTCGTTGCAGATAATAAACTGTCTTAATCCCTGGCCTATGGCTTCTCGACGATGCTCTTTTACTTTCTACATTTACAGTCAAACCTACCTACTCCTGTCAATCTGCGGCTTGCGTAATATATTCATTTTAATTTCTTTGATGTTTGGGAGACTGAAAGCCCGTACGTGGCAACCTGCGATTAGTCTCTCACATCAGCGTCCACAGTTTCCAAAGAAGATGCGGGTAGATGTAGCAAATAGAGGTAGAAGATAATAAAGGGAACTAAGGACATTGAAGGATAGACACTTGCACAAGGAAGCATATAAGCAACTAGGCTCTTGGCAAATCTAGTTACATGAGTGATAACACAATGGCATAGCTGGCTATGGACCTGGTCCCCCACAATCCATCATTTGCATTTCCAGCGTTCTTGCCAGCAAGTCTTTGCTCTTTGTTCTGCTAACGTGGTACTGAACACGAATTCAGGACGTAGAAACAAAGTGTACCCATGGGTGGCAAGGCGGGCTTCTTTCGCTGCGATTTGGCCATGTGACGTGTGCACCATCCAGCTAACTGGAAGACGCTGAAGATGCAGCTTTGGCGTCGTGGTTTGCAAATTGAATGTCTACATATGTAGGGGAGGTTGTCGCGTCATCGAGTTCATCATCGTCTAGAGCGAACGAAAGCTGACAGGTACGTGATGGTCTATGCAGAGTCCGTAACAGAAGGCAGGTATATGTCAACCTTGAACAAGTCTACACTTTTTCAAATGCAATCACGATAAAACGAGATACATTGGCGTTGATCTTCATGCTCTTGTCGAAGCGGACTCTATTGACCTAGACTATACCAGGAAAGCGAGGAAGAAATACCTACCCAAAGAGGTTGTGTTAGACACTAACTCGGAGTC